TATTGATGATAATGGTGATGATTAATGATGCTGTTGTTGGTGATAATAATGATGATAATGATGCTGCTGTTAGTGATAATGATGCTGTTGTTGGTGATAATAATGAAGATGTTAATAATGATAATGATGCTGCTGTTAATGATAATAATAATGATGCTGCTGTTGATGATAATAACGAAGATGATAACGATGCTTCTGTTAATGATGATAATAATAATCACGATGATCTTGATAATGTTGATATACGATATATTATGACATGACAAGATACGATGATACGAATACGATAAATGCAACAACGAAAATAAATTCCCAAAAATAGTACTACGCTCGGCGCTTTTTTGGCAAAGGAGGGAAAAAAAAACAGAAAACACTTAAACAATTTCTGCCTGTGGGAGAAAGTAAGAGAGAAATTCAGGTAGAAAAAGAGAGATGGAATTGTCCGATTGCGCGGGATCGGGACGATGGCATTGAGCAATTCGCCAAGTATGGCGCGGCAGCACGATGGAGCCGTCCGATTTTGCCAAATAAGGGATTATAAATGCGCGTCTGTCCAGCATCGTGTTGCAATAATAAGTCAATACAGTCGTTCCTAAGTGAATATAAAGGTGGGCCGCGCTTTACGTAGGCCGTCCTGAGCCCAGATTTAGTTATATAGATATAAAAATTTCTAACCGAATCATATGTCACCGAAAAACATCTCCAAAAATCCTTTCATTAAATGCTAATGTGGACCCCTTTCATTTTTCCTTATAATGAGTCATTTTTCATTTCTAAAAGGCAAAAGGAAAGCACTTCTTCAGGAACAATAAGTTTTTGGAGAAAAGGCGCACATGGTAGAAATCGGTAAATTTGTTTTTTTAAGTCTTCCAAGTTTTTGTCAGCAAACCAAATCGATTAAATGATTATTTAGAAAATATGGAAAAACCTCATCGAATAACAGCATTTCTGTTATAGCGAGAAACTGGCAGAGCAACATAACTGCATTTCAATTGAGAAAAACAATTGAAGACTGGAAAATTCTGTAAAATGTAGTACATTGAAAACAGTTCGTTCCATAATCAGACTTGACCAATAAAGGAACCTCGGCTTTAAAAAACAATAAATGAATTTTGCTGTAATGCAATAATTGACAATCTCTATTAAATTTTCAAGTATGAAAAATGTCACGCATATATGGTAGCGTATAAAAAATATGCTTAAAATAAAATCTCGTTGAATGTGAATCAGAAAAGCTCTTTTACCAAAATCCACTTTCACGTATATATGACGTGTGTATTCTTATGAAATCAATAACTTTTTTAACATTGAAAATTATCGTAATTTTGTATGGTGTGGACCGGTTCGCCTCTGCAAAGATTCGTATGCTAAATGCAGGTATATATCTGTGTGTGTACTGTTGTTTTTTTAAAGTGGGCGAGTTTAAGACTCCGTCGGCATCGACCCACGTTAGTTTTACACTCTATTGAGAAAAAGTTAATTTAACGCAGAGACTAGTATTAATGTTGTTAGTAGGTTTGTAGTTTATTGATTCGTTTTATTTAAACTACTCGCGAACATTAGAGATTTTATTATTTATTCATTCAATGAATAAATATTATTTATTTCAGAAATAAAAGTGTATAATTTGTTAACTTAATTGTAACTTAAAGAAATATGGAATCGAAACGATTTATGATAGCAAAACTGCGATTGTCTGGTGCCTATTCTTTTTCGTATAGTTTACGATTTAGAAGTTTCCTTCAACGTTGGTCTTCAGTCAGGTCAAAAATCAGGTCAAGTGCGTTAGTTCTTTATAAAAATGATAAATACACACATGACAGTTAAATTGATAGTAATTTACTAAAATCAGAAAAAACTTGTGTCTAAATATATCTTCAGGGAACAGGAAAGACAATATCGAGAATAAATGTCATAACTGACGAAGACACTAGTCTCGTTTCATTTCAATTTACATAAATATATGTTGTGGCGTATACAAAAAATTACATCCTTCATGTGTTATAAATTTATAATTCACTTGTTTCTTTCAATAACTATATTTCCCAGATACTTTGCAACAAGTGAATAAATATTTTTTTAATTTGTAATTTTTTTATACATTTAATTCTTTTACTACGTGCATATTTTTATAAACATGAAATAATATTAATAGGTTCGATTATTATCGCGTCTTCATTTTCCATTAGATTCAGCATAAAATGCAGCGAGAAATATCATTCTTCAAAGATCCATTATGATTTCGATGACTGGCCATATTAACAGATACAATATTGGTTGAATAGCTTTAATTTATTCATCACTTGAGTGTTAAAAAATGTATGCTGTTAATGATTACAGCGGTTCAGATGAAAATCAGAAAGGCATTCATCGATAAATATTTGATTGACATGAAAGAAATTATTAAGCCTCTACATCAAATGTATGTAAACAATCGTGTTTATTTCGCACATATCTTCTTAGAAAGCGTTTTGATACTTCCTTTTTTTGTTATTTTAAAACTTTTTTTGCAGAATTTATTCACATACACATGCGTGTATGTGAAATATGCGTGTACAGTGTAAATTAAATTTAGTACACATATATAGCTGTACTAAATTTTATAGATTATCATGCTCCAGATTAATCTCTTTATAAATTCTCTATGTTACGGAAATGAGACTTATAAATAACATCCGCAAATGTGGCAATATCCTGAAACGCTTTTAGTCGATAACCCCAATCTCAAAACTTTTTGATAGTCATTGTATATAAATTATTCTTTTTTTCTTGATAAAGAAAATTGAGTACTTAAAAACTTTTAAGAATAATAAGTGCTTTTAAGAGGTATTATTGTGGATTTAGTATTGTGATTATAAATATACTTAATATTGTGTTTGGTATTTTTAAGTATTCTTTCAAGTGCGAAGTGACTTCAGAAACCTTTCGGTTGCTAAAAATATTTCTCAACCTTTCTTTTCTGTTTTTCTATTCTAAGATATTTTATATCTTTTATATTTTATCTTTTGTATTTTATATCTTTATCTACATATTCAGGGCACGAACTAGGTCCGTAAATCCCATAAAGGTCCATAAATGTTCTAATTTTTCATTTTTGTTCCGTAAAGTCCGTATATTTTTAAATACTTTCACTTGTTCGAGCTCTGCATTTTATATCTAGATCCACATCTTTTCATCGTAGGAAGTTACATTATGTATAATTAAGTAAAAGGTGTAAAGTAGAATTAAGTAGAAAAAGGGTACTTGGGTTATTATTTAAATTTATAAAATTAATAGTTTTCAGACTTGGAGTTTTGATTGAAATGTTAATTATAGAGCTTTTTTTCAACGTCTATGTCTGCGTGGAGGTTTTGATGTTGAAATTTTAGATCAGTGTAAAATTTTATAGTAATGTGATTTTATTAAGACTATAAAGATCTAAGTGATGATAAAAAGGATATAATAGTGGTACAGAAAAAACTTGTGTGCTCATTTCTGCTGTGTTTATAACATCTTGAATCAATGGTAAACCACAGAAGAGTGACGCTCTTCTGCAATATAGTAGTTTCTATTTTCTATATGATTCAAATTGAGAGCAGTGTTTTTTTTCTATATCTATGGATACAAAAATAAAAATTTCATTAATGCTGGTAGCAGTTAAATTGTTGGAAAAAAAGAAGAGACCTTTAGAGAAGCACTTTTAATAATTGTATGTTCGGTACATCACTTGTCTAATACGCATTATATGTAATTATATACATACATATAGACGTTATTATCACAATTCGAAATTTACATTTTTATTCATGACGCTCTGCGAAGAAAGAAAAGAAGCAATTTTTAAGCTTTTGTTTGCGCTATTTTTACATTAATTAAAAGTTTCTGTTTAATAGCTCTACAGTTTAATAGAACTAAAAGTTTTTATTAATTATTTTGGATCTAAAAAGGACAAGTATTTTATGGTAAAAGAATCCTTAATTTTTAGTTTCATTCTTCGGGGCCCGTCACATTTATGTATTTATTACATAAAGGGCTTTAAAAAAGACCCCTTTCTACATAAGTTTTATATAATTAATTTACTTATTCTTAAGGATGAATAAATAAAGGAAATGCATTTTTAAATATAATAAGGTATTGTTCGCAACGGCATATTATCTTTTATAACTCTTGCATCTAATGTTTGTGGCTTATTGATAGTCGAATGAATGGGGATAATTTTTAAAAATTGAGTGCATGAAGATGGTTAGCGAACCTCGAGTCAATAATGCTAATGGCCTATTCAGCACGCTATGTGCGTGTACAATCTCTAAATAAATTGGAGATGTCGACGGACCCTTGCTTATTACTACATTTGCATATATGATTGAAATTATTCACTGATATTTTGCTTGTATAGTCGAGACAAAAACGATTATAAATTATAAAGAAATTATAAATTTGGAGAACACAATTATTTTGTTACGGATTATAAACAAAATAGATTCTGAATTTTGGTTTTGCTATTAGTATTTTTGAATGTTTGAAATTATTGGCTAGAGTGCCCCAAGGTGGCTCTTACCCTATTAATTTATTAATTTATTATATTGGCAAAAAATTTACTTCATCTGATCTTTCAGAACTTGTGTATCATATTTTTAGTACAGATATACAAGTAAATTTTCGAATTTTAACACTCTTCATATTTTTAAGTATACCTTGTTAATTAATTTTTGAAAAATTGTCAACAAATCTCTTCTTTCTTCGTATGTGAAAGATCTATTATGAAAACAGCTGCGTTATTAAAACTGCGAGAAAACTCTGACATCATACACGAAAATAACTTTGGACCACTGACCTCAATTCCGAAAACTATTAAACTTGTTCCAATAGTCCGGCGGGGTATTTCTTTTGGGCAAGAAAAATTACGATTTTCGGTCCAAAAAGAGGCAAAATTTTTTAATTTTACATTAAGTTTAGCAGTGAATTAGAAAACATTGAAAAACGCAGTTTTGTAATATTTACCAAACATTTTTTTGTTGCAGAGTGATTGTTGGCGCACCAGCAGGGGAAACCAATCAAAAGGATATAGTTCGTGGAGGTTCGGTTTTCAAATGTGACATAAATCAAGACAACAATTGCCATGTTGTTCGATTTGACACAAGAAATGGTGAGTGATAATATATATTTATCTTTTATTAATTAATTATAACATCAAAAAAAGAGTGGCGATTGCCTTATCTAATTCGTACAAATTCAATTTGAAATTGAATGAAAACAGTGATTTCAACAGTATTCTGATAAATGAAAAGAAAGATCAATAAATTTGTCTTGGACATTTCTTTGAGACCGGTCTTGAAAATCTCTCGCGGGAATTCGGTTAAGTCATGAGGACTTGGAACAAGGGATTTCTTGCGAATTCCAAAGTTGGAACCAGATACTATTAACTTGATTTTTATTTTTATCGCAATGAAATCTGCGAAAACGATTTCTTACATTCATTTGTCTTTATAACGTTTCTTGATGAATTTTTTTAAGGATTTTATTTTAATAAAGTTATAATTCGGCTAATTTATGAACACTTTCTGCGAAATGATGATCTGCTTTTTTCTTTCATATGAAATTGATCCATTTCTTTCTTTCTTTTTTTTTAATATTGCAGGCTACTTTCTTCTACTAAAAGCTACTATTTACTGCTTTTTTTTTATTTTTTTCAACTTTTAGGATAATTTTTTTTAAGTATTCGGGTGCAGTTTTAGATTTTCTAATTTTTATCTAATCTAGTTTAATTGATAGAAAAAATTTATTTTTAATAAAATAAAATTTCTAAAAATTCCTTGTCTAATAAACTTCGATTTCCGGTTTTTATCTGCAATAAAAATCAATTTCTACTACTGAATTTAAATTTCCAATTTGAAATTGTAGAGATCGTTTTTTGTTAAAAAAAACTTCTCTTTTTTTGTTCAGTAATTAATCAAAATTATTTTGACAAATATTAAGAATTTGAAAGGTAAAAAAAAACAATAATTTGATAAGAAAAAGAAAAATTAGTCGGAAATCGAAGACAATTTTTTAAATATTAAAAGATTTTTACATTAATTTCAACGAGAAGCAGTAATATAATTTTATTATTCCTTTGTTAATGGAAAATTAAATTAGAAAAGTTTAGAAAATAAATTTGAAAGTCAATGAAAAAGTAAATAAAAATTGTAGGGTATGTTTGATAACTTAAAAAATTCAGAACTTTATAGAAACATCAAAGAATGCAAATATCTTTAATAGAATTATAATTATGTTTATTTATTATCAATGAAACTTTGAAAATAAACTTGTTTGCACATAGACACAATGTAATAATTTTATTACTATATAGAAAATTACGCAAGAATTATTATTTCTGCATCCCGCAGTATCAGAAAACAGGTTACTGACTTTCATTCTCTTATCAGAAATGCGAGACTTATCAATTCTTAAAATAATGCATATAAAATGCATACATCACTTCTAATTACTTTCACTTTTATAATACATGTTTAATGAAAGTAGTGACATTAACATAATTTCAAAACTAAAATATAATTTTTACTGCAAACAACAATGTAAAAAAAAATACTCTCTCAAAAAAAAAAAAATGTACAAAATTTAGTTATACGTCTTTCAGAAAAAATTATATCAAAAGGCAAATGTTTTAATGTTTTTTAACATTTTAATTTTTTTCTTAAATATTTAACTTAAATATTTTAAAATTAATTCAGTTTTGAAAGAATTACTTTTACAATTTTCATAAGTAGATGAACTTCAATAAATTTTGATTTAAAATTTTGTAAAATTTCAATTTTAAATGAATTTAATTACAAATATATAAAAAAAACTTAGATTTAAAAAAAATTTTTAAATTGATTATTAAAAATAATGGATTTATAGAAAAATTTTAGTTAAAAACAGTACACGGAGAGAAATTTATAGTAGTGGGTAACATAATTGTGGTTAGGGTGACCATCTTTAATGCTACGTATACAGACAGCTATCTAGATAGTCACCGTTACCATCAATATCATCAGGAGTAACATCTTGGTAGTACGGGGTAGCATAACTATATTTTTTTTAGCATCTGTGATGGTTGGCAGTAGCATAATGATAGTATCGTGTAACATCATCTTTTTAACATCAAAATCTGACTATCCATTTCTCTCAGTGTAAAACAAATTGAATTTTGAAGCAATTACAAATTATTGCAGAAATTCAATTATTTTCAAAAGTAGTAAAATTTATTTTCAGAAATTCAATTATTTTCAAAAATTTTAATAAAATTCTTGGCAAAGTTTTAATTATTTTCATAAATAATAAAAATTTCACAGGAATTCAATTATTTACAAATTATTTTAATATATTTTTCAATTATTTTCATAAATAAGAACAATTTTTACAGGGATTCAATTATTTTCATAAAAATAATAAAACTCAATTCTGAATTTCAATTATTTTTAATACAATTTTAATGGAATTCCTCGAAAAAAGTTATTATTCTTAAAAATTCTATTAAATTTTTATTAAATTTTATTAAAAATTTTCTAAAGAAATTTTATTATTTTTAAAAACCTTTGCTACAATTTATTTATAAGAATTTAAGTATTATTTTCAATACATTTTTAATTAAATTTCTATGAAGAATAAAATTATTTTTAAAAATTTAATAAAATTCTTTGCAAAAATTCAATTTTTTACAAAAATAATCAAATTCGGCTCAGAAATTCAATTATTTTTATAAATTGCAATGAAATACTTGGCAAGAATTCAATTAGTTTACCAAATAATAAAAATCTGCTTAGCAATTTAAATATTTTCAAAAAATTTTTAAAATTTCTTTACAAGAATTCAATTATTTTAAAAAATAATAAAATTCTGGGTAAGAATTCAATTGAAGCGTTTTGTGCAGAAACCGCATAAGTCCATTTTTTTTCGAAAATCACTTTTTTATTGAAAATTTATCTTTAAATGAAGCTTTTCAATCTGGTAAAATATTACATAAGTGACTAAACTCTAAACCCTTAAAAAAAATAATTAAAATATCATTTTGTGCAGAAACAGCACAAGTCCATGATAAGTTTTATATTTATTTGTGATATTCTTGACGTATTTTAATAATTTATATTAAACAGTTTATATTATAAATAAAAACACTCATGGGAAGCAAAAAGTGACAGTGGTAACTGAATTATTTTAAAATCAGAAAATATTGAAAATTGGTTAAATTTATTCTTAAAACAATTTTATTATTTATAAAATGTTACTAAAAATTATCCAAATTTAATATTATAAATAAATGTTATTAAATATTTCATAAAACTTTGATATTTCACTAGATTTAATAAATTTTCTGTGTTTTTCATTTCATTTTGTGCAGAAACAGCATAAGTCCAAATGTTAATTTATTTTTTAATTTTTTATATTAAGTAGATAATTAATTAATCATATTGGATTTTTTAACTTATAGGTTAGTAGAATATAATGCAAAAAGCCGAATTAAAAAAAATCTTAACATTTACGAGAAAAACAGTTTTTATTGATTCCTGAACAATTTTGAATTATGGACTTATGCTGTTTCTGCACAAAACGCTTCAATTATTAACATAAATAATCAAATTCATCCCAAGAATTCAATTATTTTTAATATACAATATTCAATGAAATTATTCGAAATAATTGAATTAATCTTTTAAATTTTCATAAAATTCTTCAAAAAATTAATTTATTTACAAAAATTGCAATAAAATACCTACTTCCCAAGAATTCAATTATTTTCAAAAATAATACAATTTTGTGCAGGAATTTAATTATTTTCGAAAATTTTAATAAAATTTTCTTCAAGAATTCAATAATTCTCATAAATACTAAAATACTATGTAGGAATTCAATTATTTTTATAAATTGCAATAAAATACTTTGTAAGAATTCAATTTTTTTCAAAATAATTTTAATAAAATTCTTCGCAGAAATCCAATTATATTTAAAAATTTACAAAAATTCTCGTCAAAATTTCAATTATCTTTATAAATAATAATTTTTTTCTCCGAAATTCAATTATTTTCCTAACTTTTAATAAAATCCTTGGCAAAATTTCAATATTTATTTATTTATAATCCAATTTGCATTAAATTTCTCGAAAAATGCAATTATTCTTAAAAATTTTATTAAAATTTGTCAAGAGAATTCAATTATTTAAAAATTTGTTAATAAAATTCTTTATGAAAATTCAATTTTAAGAAACATTCAATTGTTGAATAAAATATTTATTTTTATAGTTAAATAATTGAATTCTCGTAGAATTTTCTAATAAATATTAATTTAAAAATGAATTCCAAATTAAAATCTTTGAAAATTTGAACTTTTCATACTTTTAGTTAAGAATTCTCTAGAATTAATTTGCCTCAATAAGTTTAATGGATTTTTTTTAATTATTTGAAGTTTTTAATTTCTAATATATTTAATTGAAGAATGTCAAAATAATCGAAATTTCGTAAAATTAAATTGTAAACAAAAAAATTTGAAAATTAACAAAGAACTTTTGAAATTTTTTTTAAAAAATTGAAGAATTTTGGTTGAAATTTCTATAAATGAATAATCGTAATGATGCAAATAATTTTTGAAAAAGTTACAGTAACAAAGTAGCAAGTATTAATTATTTTAAAACATGAAGAAAGCGATCACTCCCGAGTCGAAGACTCGGAGTTATCGTTATCATCATGTTTTATAATAATTTTCTTGTTATTGAATTTCAAATTTTTTAATATTTCTATAAAAAAAAATGATTAAATATTTATTTAAAAATGAAGTCATTGATGTTCTCAAATAATTTTCGTTTTAAAAACCTGCAAAAATTCCGTTTTTTAACCTGGAAAACATTTATGATAATCGAAATATTAAAACCGAATTTTAGTTTTTTAAAATTTATTTATTTAAAGTAGTAAATAGAGGGGAAAAGTCAAGAAGAGAAAAAATATAATTAATTCCTACAAGAAAAAGTTTCACTCCATCAATTTTATATTTACAATCGCGATATACAAGAAATATACAGTACGAAAACCTACCACGTCAGTCATATCCCATAAGTGGGAGTGAGACAGACTTATGCGATTCCCATACTTTCCTATGACTGACGGATAGCTTTTC